TGTCGCTCGGGGTGTCGACGGCGGTCGACGGCGGTGAACGGCGTCGACGGCTGTGCGAGGAGGTTCGGAGAGGGGTCTTGGCACGTCGGCGCAGTGGGCAAGTTTTGGGCAAGAAATCGAGTCTGGAGGTTTACACACGCTGTCTCCGGCGCCGTGGTCCAGGGTGCGATCTCGTCGGGGCTCGCCGCGCTCGCCCTCGCTCCTGGCCAGGAACGGCAACTGGATCAGGTCCTTGCGGGCTTGGCCAGAAAGATCTTAGGTGGTGATGCCTTCGAGAAAACTCCCGCGGTCGAGGCAGACGGCGCGCCCGCTCTGGACTCGGGGGGGGGCCGGCAGATTCGGTGCAAAGCAAATTCGGGCGAGCAAGTGTTTCGACGAGTGGGCATCGCACCCTGCGGGGCCGAGCTGCGAGTCCGACGCCGACGGATGCATCGCATATGGCTCCTTTGTCCTGAGAGGCACACCCAGGAGATCGGTTCCATTTTTGAGCAGCTGCCTACAGAGCCACGCCCCGCCATCACGGCAGACGGCACGCTGGCCGAGTCTGCCAATCCATATGCCCGGCGCTTCACAGTGTACGCCATTCGTCTCCTTCGGCGGGCTGAAGAAACAGACAGACTTCCCCGAGGCCTTGACGTCTACGAAGAGCCCGCGCCTGACCAACCTCAGGCTCCATACGCGCGCCCTCCTTGAAGACCCAGAGGTCCGCGATCACTTTCTTTGATTCGACCCCTGTCTTCTACGGGCCGCCGCCGAAACAGTCGCTATTCCGCCGCCGCCCGGTCTCTATGCACCAGCGCCCAATGCGGGGTCCTCTACGCATGGGCCCCCTCCTGCGCCTCGACCACGGGCGCGTGATCTGACGGGCAGCGCTGGGCAGACGCGCGGGCAGGCATTCTAAATTCGCAGAGCTCTGTTAGCTCATCAACGCTTCTCTCGGGCTGGCGGGCACTCGCATCGGTCTATTGTGTGCGCGATTACGGTCACGAACCAGTGCGTCGATTGCCTACAAACAGTTGGTGCCAGAAGGATCGCCCGAGAGCGCGCCCCCCCCACGCTGTTCTGAACTGAAAATGCCCGGTATCTACGGTATATCAGCATCCACTGGAGCCTCCTGCAGAGCTTCATATCACAGTGGGGTCAGTCTACGGGTGTCACGGCGCAGACTATTGTTGCTCAAGCGCGGAGCCTTTCTTGTCCTTGGAGGCGCTGACTCGACATCTCGCTTCCCACGCGTCACCGCCGTGCACAACAGATATTCAGGCCGAGCGACGCGCAGCTCGAGCAGGCCAGATCCCGCTCCGAGGGGCGCGGAGGGCCAGGGGTCTCGCGAGCACGCGGGAGTAGCCGCAATGGATCGCAGGCGTCTTTCCGTGGGAAGGCGGGGGGGCCCGACGCGCGGCAGCCAGGACGCGCGGCCTCCTGCCCAGCGACAGGGGCAGGCCGCCGCCGCCGCCGAGCCAGCGCGGGGAGAGCGCCAGTCCGAGGCGAGGTCCGCGCAGAGCCGGGCAAACAGCACGGACTGGCCCCACAGACGCTCGAGCGCTTGCCGCAGATGGAGCCCCAGCTCGCGGCGAAGCTGATGCCCATCATCGCGCGCGCGGTCCTAGGGAACACGTTCCAGCTTCGTCACCTCATGGCGGCCGAGTTCCAGACTTTCACCATGGGCGAGAACAGCCCAGCGGCGCGCGCCGCCTTTCAGGCGGGCAAGGCCTACGCGGTGACGGCGGCCGACATGAGGGAGAAGCACCTCGCGGATCCCCGGGGCCACCCTTCACCCGAGGTCGCGCCCAATTTTTTCTCGCGGCGCGCAGGGCGGTGACCCAGGAGGGCGACAAGGACGGACCTCGCAACAAGCAGGCGTGGGAAGGGCCATCCAGCTCGACTGGATGCGATCACGGATCAGGAAGAGCTCGCGACGTCGGTTCGCGGCTCCCGCGTCAGCTCGGCGCGCAAAGAGGGGATGGCCAGAGTGATCCTCTCGCTCGCGGGCGCAGGGGTGCAGGAGAGCTTCGCCGCCTGCCTCGGGCAGCTCGGCGCGGGGCACCGAGCGGTCGTGGCCCCCCGGAGCAACAGCGAGCGCATCCTGCAGCTTGCCCTCGACGAGTTCGAGCGGATGTAGGACGGTTTCCAGTGCATGTGAGAGGCCAGAGTGTGATCAGCGACGGGATGGCTGATGCGACGGCCACTTCGACGGGGGCGACTACAGTTAATCAACGCACTGTGGGCAGTGGGCTGGAGCGGCAGGGCACATCTGTTGGTGCACGTTCGGATCCTCTCTCTCTTACTGAGGGTGTACCTCGTGAGCTGGCGATGGCTGTCTCCTCTGTGGCGGGAGCCTATGTGAAGTATCCTACTACGACTGGAGCTGGTTCTTCTGTGACTGAGACTGCTCCTTCTACTATGATTATTATGTGACTGGAGTTCTTCTGTGGCAGGAGGTGGCTCTGCTGTGGAGTCCTGTCCGACGGGGGCAGCTGCAGCGGTGTCTCGGGCCCAAGGGAATGGCCTATCTCTGGCGGGTGATGCGCCCCATGGAGCTGGAGCTCGGCGTGCGAGATCTACGATTCCGTCGTCTCGATCGACCGCCGCGAGATCGAGGCTCCGTGACAGGCCAGGCCCTGCCTCCGCCAGCCTGCCGCCGCCCATCGAGACGCGCCCCGCTCCTTCCTCCACATCCCCCCGCCCTCAGTTTAAGGAACTTGTCAAGATGTTCGCCAGGTGATGCCGGCCTCGAGGAGGACGTGTTTTGTGTTTTTCCGCTCCGAGTTGTTGAGCCGCGGTAGGGCGAGCACACCTCGGGGCTCCCGCCGTGGGGCCTGCTAGTCCGCACATAGCGCACGGTTTGGCGCACCTCTCGAGATGCTCTCGGGGAGTTGGTAGTTGGAGATGATTGTACTTCGGCCCGATACCGATTCGCCGCCGCCGCCTCTTCCTCCTCCTCCTCCTCCTCCGCCTCCTCCTCAGACCTCTTCCTCCTTTTCCTCCTTCTCCTCCTCCTCCTTCTCCTCAGCCTCCTCCTCTTCAGGCCTCTTCCTCCTCGTCCTCCTCTTCCTCCTCCTCCTCCTCCTCAGACCTCTTCCTCTTCCTCGTCCTTCTCCTCTTCCTTCTCCTCCCCCTCCTCCTCCTCCTGCTGCTGCTGCTGCTCCTCCTCCTCCTCCTCCTCCTCCTCCTCAGACCTCTTCCTCACCCTGCTGGTCGCGAGGGGCACGGCCCTCGCGACCCACAGGATATACGCCAGCAGTGGAGCGGCCATTGTCTGGGCATCGGACCAGCCTGTCGATTTCGTTTTCGCAAGCAGCTCACTATTTACAGATGTGTGGGCAGGGGGGGCTCAGATATCGGGGGTCTCGAAAAAATCGCGACGGAGGTTTTTCGTTGTTTTTGTCTTCTCGGCGCCTTCGCCAGGCTTCGGGACCGTCAAAACGACTCGGGATGAAAAACCGGCCCCAGGGAAGTGGTCGGGAGGTCGGGGGGCCATGTCTCGAGAAAATCGAGGCGTCGGACGTCTGGGAGGGAACGGTAGAGGAGAGCCAGAGATGGAGAGAGACGGAAGTGAAGCGGCCCCCATCCCTTTTGGTTTTTTTTGCGACGGTTTCTTTGCGTACGTCGAGCCGGGCGAATGTGCCGACGCAGCGGTGTAAAGGCCGTCCCTTTTCAGGGCCCTGGCCCCCGAAGCGTTGACCCTCGAGGGTCCCGCTCCCGCGGACTTGCGCGCCGCGCTCCGCTCCGCTCCGTTTCGTTTGCGCTGCCCGGATCGGACCAGCCTGTGGACTGCGCGCTGGCAGCTCGCTGCTCGCAGAGGGGAGGGAGTGAGCGGCAGGGTGGGTGGGAGACGGGGATGGGGCCCTCCCCTTTCGTCCTCTCCTCTCCATCCTCCCCCTCCACAATTACTCAATATGAAAATACTCTCCCTCTTCCCCTGATGGCGTCCAGGTGATGGCCGCGCACCCTCCGCGTACTGTTTTTTTTACACAGGATTCCCGGGAAATCCCGGGAAACGACTCTCGCTGAGGCGCCGGCGTCATTTTTTCCCAAAATGCTGCTCTCGTTGAGGCGCCGGCCTCATTTCTGCTCCCGAATCGTTCCGAATCGTGCTCCCGCTGCAGCGTGGGCCTCATTTTCGGATCGGTGTGTGGCCTCCGTCGTTCAGGATGGCGTTCTCGCCCCAGCGCGGGCCTTTTTCTCGCGCGCCCATCCGCCCGCCACCACCGCGCCGCACCGCCACCACCACCACCCACCACCACCACCACACCACCACCACCAGCACCACACCACCACCACCACCACCACCACCACCACCACCACCAGCACCACCACCACCACCCACCACCACCACCCACCACCACCACCACCACCACCACCACCACCACCACCACCACGACAACCACGCACACACGCACGCACGCACGCACGTGCACCACCACCCACTACGCACGCGCGCGCGGAGCCACAGGTCCGCTACGACACGCGTCCGCGGATAGAGAAAATCAGCGCCATGGTAAGGGATGGGAGGGAGGGGTAGGACGTCAGATATGACGCGAGCGCACCTAGCTTGCCCTCCCCCCCTCTCCCTCCTCCTCCTCGTGTTCCTCCTCCTCCTCCTCCTCCTCCTCCTCCTCCTCCTCCTTCTCCTCCTCCTCCTCCTCCTCCTCATCCTCCGGTATCTTCACCTCCCCCTCTTCCCCTGCCCCCTCCTCCGCCCCCTCCTCCTCCCCCTCGTCCTTGCCTCTCTATCGGGCGCATCCTCCCCCGATCTGTCCTTGTCCTGCATGCGCGGCCCCAGAGTTTCCGACCCCTCTTCCTGGGGTCGCCCTGCGCCCGGGGCCCGAGCTCGAAGGCCCCGGGGCCCGGAAGCGGCCCCCCCGGAGGCCGACAGCTAAGGAGAACGCTGCGCTGGAGCAGAAACTCCTCGTCGGAGGTCTGGGCCCTGATCTTCTCAACTCTCTTCTCTTCTCGTCGGAGAGAGGGCGGCAGGCCTCCCCCCCAGCAGATCCCAGGCGAGCACACCGTCGATCCTGAGCCCGCACGGCTCGGGCGCGCAGACGCCCGGGACGCACTCGAAGGCGGCCCGCACGCAGGGGCGGGGATGCGGCGGGGGCCCGGATTGGGGAGTCTCGAAGAAGAGAAAACGCCATAATAAACATAGATTGTTGGCCCCAGCGGCGCCTCCGTCGCCGCCCCTGGCGCGCTCAGGGGGGTCCAGCGCAGATCCAAGAAATCCGCGCAGAGCGCTACAAGTTTGGTTTATGGCGTGTTTTCTCCTTCTGTCCTCATGTCCTGCTCCCCTCCCTGGCCGCTCGCCCCCCCCTCCATCCCCCCATCACACCCCACCCCACGCCTCCTCTCCACAATTCTCTCCCCCCGGCCCACCACTCCGCCTCCCCTCTCCTAGCAGGCCCCTCCACCTCTTCCCTCCCCGCTCCCCGCCCCCTCCCGTGGCGATGGGTCTGCTGGCAGGACAGTTGCACACAGCCAACCCGCAGAGTAAGGATGGGCACCTTTCCCAAGGGTACCCTGGCATCCTTGCCCCCTCGGCCCATCCTTGGACGCTTCCGTTGACCGCGCCCCGCTCGAAAAGCTTCGAAATCGGAGTCCAAGGCCATTGCATCCTTGTCACACATCCTCATGATGCGGGCCGACTGCACACAGCTCCGCACAGGCGGGGGAGAAGGGTTTGCAGCAGCGCTTCCCCGCCTCCGCAGCCATCTGCCTCAGAGGCCCTGCAGAGTGCCGTGCCAGCAGGCAGCGCGCGCTCTGCACCGCACACGTTGGAGTTCAGGACAGAAGCCACTGCGGCGGGGATAAGGCGGGATCGAGGCCCTCCGGTCATGCCGGGCCTCTGGGTCGAGGAACAGAAGCAGCATAAACGTAGAGCGGGCCTCTGGGTCGAAGAGCTCCGCGCGGCTTTTTGGGGGGCATCGGCGCTCTAGGCCCCCCCCTGGCGGCGCCTGTGGCACCGCGACTGGCGCGCTCCGCGGGCCGGGCCGAGAGCTCCAGGGGCCCAGGTCGCGGCAAGATCGTGGCGAGGAGGGTCTGGGAAGGGAGTGAGAGGGAGGAGGAAAGGGAGGAGGAGGAGGAGGAGGAGGAGGAGGAGGAGGAGGAGGAGGAGGAGGAGGAGGGAGAGAGAAGCGGGAGAGAGGAGGGGAGTGAGAGGAGGAGGAGGAGGAGGAGGAGGAGGAGGAGGAGGAGGAGGAGGAGGAGGGAAGAGCACGAGGAGGAGGAGGAGGAGGAGGAGGAGGGAATCCCTCTGGGCGCCCCCCCGTGGCCAGGCCAGCACAGATGCCACAGAGGAGCAGGACCAGAGCGCAGGGACGCCCCGGTCGAAGACGCTGGAGGAGTTGCGCGCCAAGCAGGCGCACTGCATCCGGGCGCTGCGGACCAGCGCCGCCCAGGCGGCGCGCCCCGCAGGGTCGCAGCGCGGAGGATGAAGAGGAACCGATGTCGCTGGCCTCGCCTCGCTCTCCCCTTGTTGGGCCTCCTGGGCGCGGCCCTCGTCCCCACCGTGGGGCTCGCATCTTGAAGTCCTGGTCAAGACGCGCCCCGGGAGAGGAGCCGGGAGTAGCGGGTGTCGGTACCCTGTGGTTTCCCCAGAAGCGAGCGCGCGTGGCAAGGGATGGCGCCGCCTCGTGGCGGCGACACGCCCGAGGTCGGAACGCCCTCGGGCGCCGTCGGGCCAGGCCACGGTGCGCGAGGCACGAGGCGGGCGGGGCCAGGCGGCCTCTGGGGGCCGCCAGCGGCGGGGTTCGGGCTGGAGGTTTGGCTGCTCGCGGGGTGGCAGACGAGCAGACCTGTGCACATACACCGATCCTGGCCAGGCCCAGCCTAGGGCCCAGGATCGGTGCATATGCCTCCCTGGCCAAGCCACGAAGGCGTATGCACCGATCCTGGGCCTGGCCAGGATCGGTGTATGTGCACAGTTCTCTTGCCTCTTGCGGAGGAGGCGGAGGCGGAAGTGGGGGCGGAGGAGGCGGAGGCGGAGCAGCAAGGGCTAATCATGCTAGCAGGGGCGGTCCGGGCAGAAGGCCGCGCAGCGTCGCGTGGACAGGAGAGCGAAGCGGCCGGATTCCTCGGATCCGGATCCTCCGGAGCTGTGGGCTCCCTGATTCGTTCGAGTTTGACTGTGTCTTGGCGTTCGGCGCCGATGAGTTGCCCGTCCCAGCGGAGTGAAGCGAAGAGGAGGAGCAGCAGTGACGGCAGCTGACGGCGGCGGAGGCGGTGAAGGCGAGTGGAGCGAGCTCGCTTTCGCAGAGGAGGAGCAAGGCTGGCGTGGTCGACGGCCGGGCGAGCGAGCGGGAGCTCCGTCAGGGAGGGCAATGGAGAGCCACATGGCCCAGCCCCTCCCTGCCAGAGGTTGCTGCCGCGAGCGTGTTCGCGAACCTTCCAGGCGGGCTGGCGCCTGGGCTGGTTGTCTCTGGTGCTGCTGCTTTTCTTTCCCCCCCTGGCCGTACTTCTCCTGATGTTCCTCTGCCGCAGGTTCCCCGATTACTAGTGATGTTGCTAATGCGACTGCTGCTCGGCATCGTGCTGGTCCTGTTCCTCGCGTGGTTCCCCTACTCTTCATCTCTGATCCCCTCCCGTCCCCTACCGTTCCACCTCTCCCCCCAAGCCCCTCTCCTCCCTCCCTACCTCCACCCGCCTCGCTATTATCGATACCTCTCTCTCCACCTCTATCTCCCTCTCTCCCTCCATCTCTTCTCTCTCTTTCTCTCTCTTGTTCGCCCTTTATCTCTCTCTCTCTCTGTTTACGGATGAATAGTCATATCGTTCTCTCTCTCTCTCTCTCTCCTTTTCTCTCTCTCTCTCTCGCTCTCTCTCTCTCTCTCTTTCTCTCCCTCTACATCCATATACAGTTACATATGTATATACCTGTGTTCGTTTCTCGCTCTCTCTCTCTCTCTCTCTCTTGTCCGCTTTCTCTGTGTCTCTCTCTATATATACAGATATATGTATCATTCTCTCTCCCTCTCTCGCGCTTCCTCCCTTCCATCCCTCCTCCATCCCTCCTGTTTGTAGCCATTTCCACGTATCTTGGATGCCTTTGTGGCGGCGCGCTTGGAAGTGGCGCGGCTGTCGCGAGCCACGACAGTCCGCTTGCAGCCGAGCGGGGCGGCGCATCCGAAACCGAAGGGACGCTGGGGCGAGGGACCTCCGCAGACTACGAGTGCCAAGGAGGACGCCCGCGCGCAGGCCAAGCCGGAGTTGTGTGCCGAGCTTTTGCAAGACCCCAGCAAGCACGGCTTGTCGGCGGAACAGGCGAAGTCGATCATGGTGTCGCTGGCCCCGCCGGGCCAAGACGCGGACATGGAGCCTGCGAGGGCGGAGCTGGCTACGAAGTCGCTGCAGGACCTGCACCAGGGGAAAGCGAGAAAGGAAACGCAGCCCGAACGGACTCAGGAGCGGCTGCCTGCAGCGCGAGAGGCGCTGGAGGCCAAGCAGAAAGAGGTCGATCAGGAGCTGGACTATCTCAAGGGCCACCAGGAGGCCTTGCAGGATATCAACACGGTCATCAAGGCGAACGAGATCGCGGACGCGGCCCCCATCGTCGGCACAGTCCAGCGGGGTGCCCTCTTCGACTCAGGCGAGTCTCTGGACATGCTGGGGTTCGTGGCGGAGTCGGTGGACAAGCTCGGGTCCTCGTCGCACCCCGCGGCGATGGAGAAGCAAACCAATGAGTGTGTCAAGTTGCTCGGCAAGCAGCGAACGGCCGTCCAGAAGAAGGTCAAGCATGAGGGCGAGGAGAGGGAGGCTAAGGCCGCAGAGGTTGCTGCAACTGCTGCTGCGGCTCCTGCTTTTCCCGCTGGGTATGCTGCTGCTGGCCGCGAGCCACCCGTCGAGCCCGACTGGGACGACCCCGCCCTCCAGGAGAACGCGCCCGCAGCTTGAGGACCGCGAGAAGGTCAAGCGCCTGTAGTCCTCCCTGCTGCCACCAGAAAAGCCACGGTTGGTTTGGCGGGGGCGGGACCTGTGAGTCAGGAGGCTTCGACGTCCTCACTGTGAATGTACGGCTTGGCCCAAGGCCCAAGACCTGTTGGCGCGGTGCGCTGAGGAAAGCGCGGGAAGGACAGCGCCTAAGGAATCGCTTCTGCCGGAGCATCGCCTCGAACTGGAGAAGCAGCTGGCCGCGGCGCAGTCGCGGCGCCGAGCAACCGGTGCCTCCATCGAGCGCGGAAGAGCGGAGAGCGCGGGCAGCGCGCTGCTGAAGTCGCCTGGGGGGCACGGCAGCGGCCCTCTTCGTGCCAGCCGCGTCCTCGCAGCAAGGACATCCCAGCGTCCTCGCCACCAAAATTGGGCATGGCGGAGCCCGACATCAGCTTCTTGGGCGCGCTGCTCCAGCTGGTCGAGCTTTTGCCGGGCCCGTGGATCGCTGGTGGCGGCTGGAACTTGGAGACAGCGGAGCTCGTGGAATGGGCTTGGCGAGCGTCAGGGCTAGTGGTTAGCCCTGCTGAGCCCACCTGTGGGCAGAAGACGTACGAGTTCTTCGCTGCCGACAGCCGCGCGTCGCGCCGATCATCTGGGGCCCATTATCGCCCGCAGAAGCTGGGGGCTTTATTCCTGGCCCAGTCGGCAGGTCAAAGTCATTCTGGACTTTATCCTGGTGGTCGGCCGGCGGCCGACGCCGGGTCCTTTTGCGCGACGTGAGCGCAGGCAAGTTCGTTGCATGTCTAAGCGGCAAGTCGAGCCAGGCCGCCCGCTGCGCGCTGGAGGCAGCTGATCGGCATGCGCAGGCTCTTCGGTGGAGGTGAAAGGAGGTCACGCTGCCTTCGCCTGCGTTCGCTCTGCAGCTCAGCCCTAGGAGCCGGTCTGCGAAGCGCTTGATGAGGAGGTGATGCAACGGAGGTGCCCCCCCGGCCGCAGGGGCCCTCACGGCCCGGGAAATTCAAACATGCAGTTTTTTTTCCCTCGGGCGGCGATGAGACAGCGACAGTGGCTCGCATTTTGAAGCAGCGGCAGCAGGCGTGGATTCACGAGCAGCGCGCAGATGAGGAGCGCCCACGCTCGCGGCGAGGAGCGGAGCTCGACGCTGGGATCCTGCCAGCGATCACCATAGCCGAGCTTGATCGGGTCGTTGATTCGCGCAGTGAAAAGGCAGGGCTGGGGCGGGGCCGGCCAGCTTCGCCCGCGACAGCTGCGCTGGTTGCCGGCGAGTCGCAGGCTGCGACGCCGCGATGCGCCGCCGGCTTGGGAGGCCGACGCATTGGATTGCAAGCTCTTCTCGATGCTGATCTCCTCCTTGCCGAAGCCGCCTCCCAGCGGCGGAGTGCGCCCTATCGCCTTCAACTGCATCTGGCTGCGGATCCGGGGCAGGCTGGGGCAGTCGCCGGCTGCGGCTCGGGGGCGCCAGCTGGAGGGCGGCTTCTATTGGGGAGGCGTCGGCAAGACGCCGTGGAAGACACATCTAAAATTCTATCTTGGTTGCTCATTTCCCCCGCGGCAGCTGCGTTCGGAAGGGCCGCGTGGCATCTAAAATTCCCCCCTTGGATCACATGTGTTTTACAGCGTTTTCATACAGAAGATCAGAGACGAACAGATATGTTTCAAACATAGCTACGCTTAGGTACGATGTTTTTTTTTTTTTGCGATGCGGGAGGCATGGTTTCTTCCATAGTTTAGATGCGGGGTCATTTTCAGATGCGAGTAGACATGTTTTGATATGTTTAGATACGGTTCAATATGGCGCCCATCGCTGGAAACCATGTATACCAAACATAGATACGAATAGATGCGGCGCCATGTCTCGCGCGCGCGCGCCCACGATCGATCATTATCGCTCCTTCTTCTTGGGCCCTCCTCATCCGCCCTCCTCGGTGTTCATCTTCTTCGTCTTTCGCCGCGTGCTGAGTGGGGTTCCTGTTCCCCGCAGCCTGAGTGGGGTTCTTGTTTCGCTAGAACACCCTCCCCCCTCTCCCCTCCTCCCCCCCCCCCGCCCCCCCCCCGCCCCCCCCCCCCCCCCCCCCCCCCGCAATGCCATGCCAATGCGCGCCATGCCGATGCCGCGCCGACCTACCATGCCATACCTACAGCACCGCACCTACCATACCATACCCACCATACCAGACCAAACCGACTAGACCATACCATACTAACCATGCCATGCCAAACTATGCCATACCTACCAAACCTACTATACCATACTTCTCCTCCCCCCCCCCCCCCCCCCTCCTCCTCGACTCCTCTTCATCCTCTTCCTCCTCGTCCTCCTCCTCCTCTGAGCTCCCCCCATCCTGCGGTTCGCTGTTCCTACATGCTCCTCGTCGTTTTTGTCGTCGTCGCTCGCCTCCTCACTCCTCATCGCCAGGGCACCCTACTAGCCTCATCCCCCTGTTCATTGCTTCGATCAACAGCATGGATCTTGTTCGCGCCGGGAGCACGGCCAACTGAATTCGCGCTGACAAAATAGGAACGAGTAGATACGACGCGGCACTGTCCTTCTGTGGAACATAGATACGAATATATATGTTTTCTGGAAGAAACATAGGCACGGTCCCACGTGTTAAAGTATCCGGGAAAATCATGCGTTTAGATAAGGCGGCGCCCCCGCGCAGGCCAGGGGCGCGCATCTAAAAATAGCGTTTATCTTGTCGTCGTTGCAGAGAAATCAATGCGACGGGCTTCTCGCCTGCGCCAGGGCGCGATCGCATCTAAATGCATCTCTTATTTTAGATGCGTCTTGCAGGACGTTCGACCGCGCAGGTCGCGCGCGCGACCTGCTGGCCGCAGACCGCGCGCAGCGCGACGGCGTGGCTGCTGGGGCGGCAGCCCCGGACCTCGGCAAGTATTACGAGCACGTCTCGCATGAGATACTACTGCACGAGACGCGATCCCCGCTTCCGCGGTTGCGGACGCAGTGCCGCGCCCGCCGCCCGGGCAGGCGGGCGCGGCGCGCTGGCGCGCCGTCGGCGGTGGTCCGCGCCAACGGCGCGGTCGCAGCCGGCTGCAGCTGCGTGCTGGGGCTGGCGAAGCCCATGCTTTTCGCGCATATGGCCGAGCAGGCGCGGAGGTTTCCGCTGGCGCGGGCGCAGTCGCCCAGGCCCTGGGCGCCGTCGAGCTGGTCAGCGACTGGCCTCCCAAGGTATTGCGCAGCCTCGTCGACGGTCTCGCGGCTAGGAAGCCGAAGATCAGCTGGGCCGAGACGGGCTGGCTGGCGGGCGGCGACGAGCTCGCTCGATAGCCCTTCCGCTGCTGGCAGGGCGAGCTGGAGCGCGCCCGAGGCATCAGGTGCGCGGGAGGCGACGGCTCGCCCAGGATTCTTCGCAGCGTCGTCAAACAAGATAAGAGGATGTTGAAAGCCAATAGGTCGGCAGATAGGGTTCGCGCTCTGAGGGCTGCCGGAGCTTCTGCGGCTAAGATTCTTAGAGGTTCCCCCGCGGCCGCCGCGGTCTCGGGCTCCGCGGTTACGGGCATCGCCGATTTGAAATTCAATGGTTGGAGGACTCTTGCTTTGAACTCCAAGGGGCGGCCCCCTGCGGGAGCCGGCGTGGGCCTCGGGCTCCAGAGCATGCGTCGAGGGTGCTGGATGGGGGGAAGTTGTGCATGCCTGGGCTCGTAGCCGGGGGGCTTCTGTGCCGTCGCTCGGGCCTCGGGGGTCGTTCTCGAGGGTTCTCGGGGCATCCTAGGTAAGAAGCGCCCTTGGGCAAGGTGCTGCATCCCTGAGCAGGCGGGGTTGCTGACGCTTGCGCGTGTCGTGGGTGAGATGATTTCAGCTTAGAGATGTGAGTGCTTTGCTGGAATAGTAAATATTCAGACTCGGGCAAATGCAGTCTTTGGAAATGGCGCCGCGACACGCGCGGGCAATACTTCGTGCAATAGTCGGAAACGATCACGTACATGCTAGCGTGCCTCATGCAATAGTTGGGGTGCAATAGCTTGCTCGCGCGAACGCAATAGTTCATCTCTGCGACGAAATAGTTTGCATGCTCGCTTTGTTGCAAAGCCTAGTTTGCAATGGTTGGCCGGCCACGATGCACTAGTTGCGTCTGGCCATGCAATGCGACAGAACAGTTGAGCCCGCGGGCGCAATAGTTCGCAATAGTTGCGCGCGGCAGTTGCGCGCAATAGTCCCACGCAGCGAACCATTGCAGCTGCGGCTTGCGGCCCCGTTTCTAAATTTCCATTTCCCCGGAACCAGAATGCGCACTTTGCCTCGCCAGGTCGCGCCGCGGCGGTCGCGAAAAGGGTTGCTTCCATTGCGTCAGACGTGCCAGCGACGAAGCGGAACGAGCATTGGGTTTCCGAGCTCCGCCTGGCCCCCCCGGGCAAAGCCCCGCGCGGGGAGGCGGGGGCGGGGCTCGCTAGGCACGGGCGCAACGTGGTCAGGAGCGCCGGGCTTCTGGCGCGCACTGGCCTCAGGCAAGGCTGGCGAAGCATAATGCATAGGCGTCTCACGCGCATCGCGTGTGCGACTGTCGGGGCACCCGGCGTTCCATCGGGGGTTCGACTGCCCGCGCTCAGAAGGTTTCAGGCGCGTTGATTTGTCGCCCTTCCTCAAGAGAGCGGCTCGGCAAGCGGCGGTTCTCAGCGAGGGGGGGGGGGGGGGCGCCGCTTGCGAGGCGGTTGCCCCCCTTCGCTGGGGCTGTGTTTCGGGGGTTCGGGGGCGCTGAAGCCTCTGAAGAGAATTTGATGAACTTCATAGGGGCCGCTCCTGGATGGAGATGGGGCGCCCTCATCTTCGCGGGCGGATCAGCCTTCCGCGCGAAATTCCCATCGCGCAGGCGAGCTGGCCGAGCCACGTTGCAGATTGACCGGGCAAGCCGCTTTGTGGCACGTACGCAAAGGGAGATGTCTCGGGGGGGGGGCTCATCAGCGGGCTCGGGGTGGGGGGGCTGCGCTTTCCACGCGGCTACTAGGTTTAGTAGGCCTCCTCGGGAGGGCGACGTCGGCGTTCCATTCGTAATGCACAGTGGTTGCGCTGGCTCGGTCTGAAATGCAGCCTCCTCGCCCGCCGCCGTGGGCCCCCGCAGTGAAAGTCGCCGCGCGTGGCAGCTGTGGTGGTCCAAAGTTGGCCTATCAGCGACTGCGGTTAAGTTCGAGGCTCGTCGCGCGATCCAGGAAGCCACCTCTTGGGATGATGAGTGGCATCTCCGAGGGAATCGTCGGGATGACGAGTGGGCCAAGAAAGGCGCCCTGCCCTGGGCTTTTCAGGACGAGCAAGGCCTTGTCGTAGAAGGCTGCGAGCGTCGGGATGCGCACGCGGCCGAATGGCAAGGTCGGCTCCATCGGCGGCTCCACGGCGCGGGCTTCAGCGATGCGAGGGGCGGGGGGGGAGGGGCGGAGGTGGCCCTCCAGTTCGACGCCTGTCCTGTCAAGTCGGTGGAGGCCGATCCAGTGGATGAGCTGGATCTGCGCCTAGCCCATCGGGAGCGGGAAGGCCTGCTCGAGGCCATGCCTGCTGCTTGGTATCCTAAGGAGGAGGAGGCCGCTCTGGGTAGGGCTGGGATCGCTCTGGGTTCTGCTGCTCGTGATTCCTCCGCCGGCTCCTCGGCTGCTCCTCCTGACCTGGTGCCCCAATATTCGGGGCTTCGGTGGGGTGGGTGTGAGACTTGGAAATTCAACCAGCGGGCTGCGGTGCGGGCTCCTATTCACGGGGGCACCGAGGCTCCTCCAGTTATGTTCCCGATCTCGCGCCTGGCGAACGTTCAAAGCTGTCATCGGAAAGGCCTAGCGGGCCTGCGTTTCGGGCCCCGCCACGTTGGGCTAGCCGCGCAGCTTAGCAGGCTCAGGCGCATTCTGCACCGAATTATACCCGCAACCCTCTCCCCAAGCTCGGCGATCTGTGTGAGCCGTCGGTCGAGGTCCGACCTTTCTTGGAAGGCAGGCTGGTTGCATCAGAGACCTCGGCGAGTGCTGACCCAGCGGTCTGCCCCGGGCGTGGGTTGGAGATCCCCGAGGCCCTTGATACGCATCGTGTTGCGCAGCTGCGCGGGTTCGGTGATCCGCCGGAGGCGGTGGAATTCTGTCGCGCTGAACGTCAGCGCGAAGCCAGACTCAAGAGGAAAGCTGGCCCTGATGAGCTTAATTCATGAATTAAGCCTCGCCGGTCGCGATGCACTTTGGCGTGGCCCCCTCAGTTTCCTAAGGCGCCATCGTTCCTGTGCATCTCGACGAGGAGGCTCCCGCATTCGCGATAATTGTGGCGCGCCCGGCTTGATGCACCCACGAGTTATTTGGGGCAACTGCGCTGATCGCATTGTATTTTCGCGCTCATTTGGGCGGTGGGACAGGCGGTGACAGGTGGAAATATATAAGCAATGCATGACGATGGTGGGGCAGGCGGTGGAACAGCAACTGGCTGAATGGAATGGCCACCTACGGGGGAGGAGGATGATGAGGCGAAGGAGAAAGGAGAGGAGGATGATTCGCTCGTTGATTTCTTGGGCGAGAAGTGGGGACTTGTACGAGATGCGGACGCCGTGACTGAATAGCGACTGCGATCTGACAGTTTCGTGAAGTTTGCATGTGGCAAGTGGCGCCTGCCCACATGTACGGTTTCGCAGAGTCAGCATCAATCGAACGCTGGCCAACAAAGAAACAAAGACAGAGCTGGACGCAAGAAAGGACATATTATATTTCTGATGGAGCGAACCAGGTGCAGACGAATTGAAAGACACACTGACGCGAACGATCTGCTGGGCATCTTCGAAAAGACAGTTTGTATATGCACCCGGTCCAACGTCTGTGCAACATGTGGTTTGCGGCTGCGAGGAATTGCGCGAACCCACCTCCGAGTCTTTGTTTATTCGCGTGTTCGACAGGGTATCCATTCACATGCGAAATGGGTGGAAACCCCTGGGCTCCATCAAGGACCCCGTTCAATGGTTCCCGCGAGTTCGCAAAAACAATAGTTGATGGCCTGGCTGGTCGAAAGACGGATCGCCGAAGCACGTGGCACAAAACGTGATCTTAGACTCCCATGCCATCATCCAAACGGACCTTGGTGTGAGGGAAAGGGATTGCGCGGCCGTCGCATGGACCATTGATTTGTGGGGTACTCGCGGACAAGAGTGGCTATTTGAACCACTGGTTGCGCATGTTTTTGTTTATGCGCGTGCCTTGTATGGCTTTTGTTACTGAGTCGATCGCTTTGGACGAGACATCATGCCAATCTGCGAAGGTTCTGGTTTCCAGCCCGGCAAGCGATTCACACAGTGGAAACGGATGTGTCCTGAGCTCTACCAACAAAAAAGGAGGAGATGGGTAGGAGGAGGAGTTTCGCCCTCGCTCAGCTGGATTAGTACGCGTTTCCACGGAGAGCCGGTGACGCGCCCGACTCCCAAAACGACCGCGCGTGTCACCGCGCATGTCCTCACAACTAGGCCAATCATCGACAAGTAACTATCTGATCAGACTCCCCTCTCCGGTTCCACGTTGTGGTTTTTCTCCTCCGATTCTGCCTCTCCGTCCCTTCGTTTCCTCCTAGTGATATCCTCCTCCCTCCTTCGCCCAATCCTCATCCGCCACTCCGATGTTCCTCCTCCTCCTCATCGTCATCCTCATCCTGCCCCTTGGCTTCTCCTCATCCTCCTCATTTTCCTTTCCTGCTCCCCCACTCCTCCTCCTCCTGCCCCCCTTCACCTTTTTCATCGTCCTCCCCATCCCATTTCCCTCACCCCCCCTGCCGCTCTCCCTCCTCTTCTCGTCCTCTTCTTGCTGCTCCCAAATCCTCACGCCATTCCCTGAGATTCGACGTCGGTTGCAACTTTTCGAACAATTGTCACCAAAGTGCTGGGCCCCATCTTTCTGCTGCATTTTTCTAGTCTTGGGGCCCGGGGCCCGAGGCCAGGGGAAAACGCCCTGCTGCATTTGTCGAATCGTATCGATTTGTGACGTCCAGGGGCCCGAAGACCAAACCGTCCGGTGTGAAACATGTGACGCCCAGATCTCAGGACTTCCCCCCCCCTCCCGCGTCCTCTCCCTCCCCCACCCCCGCGCGACGGAACCCCCGAAACATGGCACGACTCGGCCCTCGCGCCAAACTGGGCGAGCACGCGCGGTTTGAAAACATGGCGACGCCCAGATCTCATGAGCTCTTCGCACCCAGCCGTGTGCGGCCCAGGCGCTCCAGTTGGGTGTTGCTAGCCAGAAGTGCCCCCTGGCCCACGGTGCCCCCCCAGGAGTTCCGAGGAGGCCCCCAGGGTTTCCAGAGCCCCCCCCTCACTCACGAGGCCCCGAGGGCCCAGGGGCTCCAAGCTGGAGCGAAAATGTTGGGGGGCACTATGGGCCAGGGGCATCTCGGGCAACCCCCGCTCCAGGCCCCGAGGCCGCCCACCGGGGCGGGCTGCTGGCATGGCCGCGCAGGGGCCCGGCGGCGCCTCGCGCGAGCGTCACGAGCCGCTGCTGGCGGAGGACGCCCGCGCCGGGCCGCAGGGGCCGAGGGAGTTGCGCGGCGAGTGGCGCCCTGTTCTCGGCATCGTTCGGAGGAGGAGGAGGAGGACGAGGAATAGGAGGAGTAGGAGGGGGACGAGGGGGGAGGAGGGGGTCGAGGGGGGAAGGAGGAGGAGGGGGAGGAGGAGGAGGAGGAGGAGGAGGAGGAGGAGGGGAGGGGGAGGAGGACAAGCGAGGTGCGCTCGCGTCATGTCTGACATCCTATCCCTCCCTCCCATCCCTTACCATGGTGTAGCTTCCCTCTCTACTCGCACAGTCGGATGTCGAGCAGGGCAATGATCCCGAAAGGGTGCGCGATGCATTGTAGATCACGGCATGGCATGACGTAGAAGAGCACCGCAAAGCGTAGTATGTCACATCATGGCGTGGCGTGGCGTAGTGAAGAATTGCATCACAAAGCTTTGCAACGCAAAACATGGCATCGCACAGCGGCCCCGAACATAACATTGCATATCATGGCGTTGAAGATCAAAGCGTAGCATGGCATAGCACGACGTGGCACTTAAGCACTGCATATCACAGTTTCAGCTGAAGGCATGGCATCGCGCAGCGGAACGCAACCTAGCATTGTATGCCGTGGCATGGCACGGGAGATGACGCCAGCGTTGCAGTGGGAGCACGATTCGGAACGAGCGGAAGCGCGGAAATGAGGCCAGCGCTGCAGCGGGAGCACGAATCGGAACGAGCGGGGCCCGAAAATGAGGCCGGCGCCTCAGCGAGAGCAGCATTTTGAAAACAATGCAGGCGAAAACCCAACTCTGGGGAATCCTGTGTGTAAAAAACAGTACGCGGGGGGGGGGGCGAACACTCCCAACCCGTCATCGGGGGAAGGAGGAGAGTAGTGTTCATTTGAGTAAATGTGGAGGAGGAGGAGGAGGAGGAGGGGAGGAGGAGGAGGAGGCGGAGGAGGAGGAGGAGGAGGAGGAGGAGGAGGAGGAGAGAAGGAGTGGGAGGAGTGGAGGAGTGGGAGGAGTGGGGAGGAGGAGAGAGGAGGAGGAGAAGGAGGAGGGGGGAGGAGGGGGAGGAGGAGGGGGAGGAGGAGGAGGAGGAGGAGGAGGAGGAGGAGGAGGAGGAGGAGGAGGAGGAGAGGAAGAGAAGGAGTGGAGAGGAGGAGGAGGAGGAGGAGGAGGAGGAGGAGGGGAGCAGGAGGAGGAGGAGGAGGAGCAGGAGGAGGAGAAGGAGGGGGACGAGGAGGAGGAGGGTCGGACGAGGATGAAGGAAGAAAACGAAAAATAATAAGACTCATGCAACAACGAATTGCTATAATACGAATCAGTTAATAAAAATAATACTAAGACGAAGACGAACACGAATAATAATACTAATACTAATATTAATAATAAGCAGAAGAAGAGGTGCAGGAACAGGAGCGAGATGAGGAGGAGGAGCAGGAGAAGGAGAAGGAGGAGGGAGGAGGAGGAGGAGGAGGAGGAGGAGGGGAGGAGGGGGAGGAGGGGGAGGATGGGGGAGGAGGGGGAGAGAGGGGGAGAAGGAGGAGGAGGAGGAGGAGGAGGAGGAGGAGGAGGAGGAGAAGGAGTGGGAGGAGGAGGAGGAGGAGGAGGAGGAGGAGGAGGAGAGGAGGAGGAAGAGGAGGAGGTGAGGAGGAGGAGGAGGAGGAGGAGGAGAGGAGGAGGAGGAGTGAGGAGGGGAGGACGAGGAGGAGGAGGAGGAGGACGAGGAGAAGAGAAGAAGAAGAATAAGAAGAAGGAGGAGGAGGAGGAGAAGGAGGAGGAGGAGGAGGGAGGAGGAGGGGGGGAGGGGGGGACGAGGAGGGAAGGGGACATCGAGGAAGAGGAGGAGGAGGGGGAGGAGGAGGAGGAGGAGGAGGAGGAGGAGGAGGAGGAGGCGAGAGCGGAGCAGGAGGAGCAGGAGGAGAAGGGAGAAGGAGGAGGAGGATGAGGAGGAGGAGGAGGGGGACGAGGAGGAAGGGGAGGAGGAGGAGGAGGAGGAGGAGGAGGAGGAGGAGGAGGAGGAGGAGGAGGAGGAGGAGGAGGAGGAGAGGAGGAGGAGGAGGAGGAGGAGGAGGAGGAGGAGGAGGAGGAGGGAGGAGGAGGAGGAGGGAGGAGGAGGAGAAGAGGGGGAGGAGGAGGAGGAGGAGGAGGAGGAGGAGGGGGAGGATGGGAGGAGAGGAGGAGGAGGAGGAGGAGGAGGAGGAGGAGGAGGACGAGGACCATCGAGACCACCGAGGAGCACCTCGGACCACCTTGCGAAAACAGACGAGCACGAGATCGACACGGGGAGTGGCCGTCCGAGCGGTGGCGAGTGGTGTGCAGACCCCGTGCGTCTTCGTGGCCCGTCCCGGCCCGTCCCGACCTGTTAGGGTTCTCGCGTGGCCACTCGCACATGCATCATACTTTCATGACCCGCCGCCCCGACCCGACCCGCCCGTTAGGGTCCGACCCGACCCGACCCGACCCGCCCGTTAGGGTCCGCCCGACCCGACCGGTCGCGTCCCGACCCGACCCGTTAGGGTTCTCGCGTGTCTATTTGCACATGCATCATACTTTAATGTCCCGCGGACCCGACCCGACCCGCCCGTCAGGCTCCGTCCCAACCCGACCCGACCCGCCCATTAGGGTCCGCCCGACCCGACCCGTCCCGTCCCGACCCGACCCGTTAGGGTTCTCGCGTGTCTATTTGCACATGCATCATACTTTAATGCCCCGCCGACCCGACCCGACCGCCCGTTAGGGCCCGACCCGACCCGACCCGACCCGCCTGTTAGGGTCCGCCCGACCCGACCGGTCCCGACCCGTTAGGGTTCTCGCGTGTCCACTCGCACATGCATCATATTCTAATGTCCCGCCGACCCGACCCGACCCGCCCGTCATGGTCCGACTCGACCCGACCCGACCCGCCCGTTAGGGTCCGCCCGACCCGACCCGTCCTGACCCGTCCCGACCCGTTAGGGTTCCCGCGTGTCCATTCGCACATTCATCATATTCTAATGTCCCGCCGACCCGACCCGACCCGCCCGTTAGTGTCCGACCCGACCCGACCCGACCCGCCCGTTAGGGTCCGCCCGACCCGACCCGTCCCGACCCGTTAGGGTTCCCGCGTGTCCACTCGCAATGTCCCGCCGGCCCGACCCGACCCGCCCGTTAGGGTCCACCCCGACCCGACCCGACCCGCCCATTAGGGTCCGCCCGACCCGACCGGTCCCGACCCGTTAGGGTTTTCGCGTGTCCACTCGCACATGCAACATATTGTAATGCCCCGCCGACCCGACCCGACCCGCCCGGCAGGCTCCGTCCCGACCCGACCCGACCCGCCCGTTAGGGTCCGCCCGACCCGACCCGTCCCGACCCGTTAGGGTTCTCGCGTGTCCACTCGCACATGCAACATATTCTAATGCCCCGCCGACCCGACCCGACCCGCCCGGCAGGCTCCGACCCGACCCGACCCGACCCGCCCGTTAGGGTCCGCCCGACCCGACCCGTCCCGTCCCGACCCGACGTCGTCGACGTCGTCGTCGTCCGACGACGGTCGGGGACCGAGGAGGTTTTCTGTCGCTTTCGGTCCCTGGAGGCCGCGGCGTTTAACGGGCGGGCGGGCGGACCCTAACAGGCAGTTCGCGTCGTGCGGGCGGACCCTAATGGGCGGGTCGGGTCGGGCGGGCGGACCATTAAAGAGCAGGGCGTACGCGAACGAACACGCGTGAACCCTAGCGGGCGGGTCAGGTCGGTAGGGCGGACCCTAACGGGCGGCTAGGGTCGGGCAGACTCTAATGGGCAGGTCGGGTCGGGCGGGCGGACGAGTAGAGTGTGGGACATACACGAGCGAGCACGCGTGAACCTTTACAGGTCGGCCTAGGGTAAGCCTAGGGGTAAGCCCAGGGTTGGCTTAGGGGAAGGGCCTACGGGTAAGCCTAGGGAAACCCCAGGGAAAGGATCTAAGGGTAGGGAAGGGCCTGGGGGTAGGCCCAGGGTAGGCCAAGGGGAAGGACCTAGAGATAGGCATAGGGTAGGCCTTGGGGCAAGGCCTAGGGTAAGACCGAGAGTAGGCCTGGCGGAAGGGCCTAGGGAGAAGCGTATGGTGAGCCTAGGGGAAGGGCCTAGGGGTAGACCTAGGGTAGGCTCAGGGTGAAGGGCCTAGGGGAAGAGCCTAGGGGTAGGCCTAGGGAAGGCCTAGGGGAAGGGCCTAGGGGTAGGTCTAGGGAAGGCCTTTCCCTCGGCACGACCCGCTGGCGCAGCCTCCCCCGGCCCTGCCAGCGGCGGCCCTCTCCCGCCTGCGGCGGCGGCCCGTGCTGCGGCGGGGCCCGGAGCTTTGCCAGGGCGGTGCTCCTCGTCGCCGCCGCCGTCGTCGTACTCGCCGTCGTCGCCTGTCGTCGTCGCCGTGGTCGTCGTCATCGTGTTCGTCCTCCCCCTCCTGCTCCTCCTCCTCCTCCTCCTCCTTCTCCTCCTCATCCTTCCTCCTTCCATCCCGTGACTCCTCCCTACTCTCAGACGTGTCGGTAGGGCGGGCCGGGCGTGTCGCTTGAGACGTCTTCGCCATCCATGATCTTGATGCTGAAAATTTGAAACAATTCCAAATATGGAGGGCGGGGCATGTCTCAAAATGATGCTCTCGCCTTCGAACCGCGTATATTTTTTGCCGCAGTTTTAAGGATGAGCCGCGGGCCATTTTCAAAATGCGGCACTCCCCTCAGTGCCGCGCACATTCGTCTTGAAAATTCGCAGCAGCTTTAAAGATGGAGGGCTGTTTCTTTTCAAAGCTCAAAATGTGGCTCTCGCCGTAGCGCTCTCGGGAATTCTTTGAAGAAGCTTCCAGCATGTTCAAGAATTCTTATGGTTGAAGTATCGCGAATGCGGTACTTGCGCGATCTAGGGTTTCCCGGATGCAACAGTCACGCTGGTTCGCGGCGTTGAAGTCCCAAAAACGGCCTTCTGGCACGATTTCGGGTTGTCAGCACGCAACAGTCACTCCTGATTCCCGGCGTTCAAGTCCCAGGAATGGTGCTATTGCACCGCTGGGGATTCTCAAACAGTTGCATTTTTATCGGACGCTTCCCACATTGACAACAATTTGTTATAGGGGCCAACGAGGAGGGAGTTGGGACGGCGTCCCTTTGGTTTACACGGTTATTCCTCCTCATCGTTTTTCGTCTTCGTCCGTTTTCTCTTCGTCTGTTTCCTCCCCGTCCGTTTCTTCCTCATCTTTTCCCCCTCCTCCTCTCTCCCCCGCCGCCTCTCTTTTCCCGCAGCGCCAGGTGACCAGGCTCTGATGGCCAGCGCATCCCGCCCCCCTTCTCCTTTTCCTCCTCTTCCTCCTCCCTCACTCCTTTCCCTCCCTCCTCCGCCCTCTTCCTCCTCCCCGGTGCGCGGCTGGTGGCGGCTTACCACAGACGGCAGCTATCCAGCTGCCTGCGGCACCCTGCCTTTCCCACCCCTCCAGTGCAGCGCTAGAGCGCATTCGGGGTGGTCTTGCCGATACCTCTCGCAGAATTCGGCAGGACCATCCTGCGGCAGTCTGGGCAACACTGCCGCGATGCTGTCGCGGAGCGTGGCCACAATTTTGCACGGTCGTCGAGTTGGAATGTTCTGTTGTTGTTGCGGCGGGGGGGCTTCACGGGGGCCTCTTTGGCTCTTTGGACATCTTGGGGAGCCCTCTGGGGGGCGTGGAGCCCGTCTTGGGGCATCCCTCTTGGGTTGGTATTGGGCAGTGTTGGGGTCTCTCAGGCCCTCATGGATCGCTTGCGGGCCCGGCCGCTTTTTGGCAGCATTGGAGGCTTGTGTGGCCGTCTTGAGGCTCTCGCAGAGGCTACTTCTTAAAGTCGGCTTGAGCAGCGAAGAGTGGGAAGCGGAAACATTGAGCAACAGTCTGTTGATCAGTGTTTTTGGCCTCCACAGGCTTGCTGCTGGATGTTCTTGGGCGTCTTTGGGGGGCCTGCGTGGGGTCTTTCTGGGCATCTTGGGGCCTACAGATGGTCCAGCCGTCTTGGACTCGTCACGGGCCATTTTGTGACCACCTGAGGGGGCCATGTTGTCCATTCTGAGAGCCAAGTTTGGGGGTGCAGGCTGACACGAGTTGGGGTAATGAGTTGTAGGAAGCGGGGCTATTTCCTTGTTGAGGAGAAGCTTGACCAGACAGCTAGCAGGCGTTGTAACACCTCTAGAACTGCCAAGGGCACGGTGGCGGATCTTGCGTCGCCGGGGAGCCGGCGGATCTTCTGGAGGCATTTGAGGGGGGGGGGGGGGTGAGGGAGGACGGGACGGCGAATGAGAAAGGAAAGCAGAGGCAGGGTGGGGGAGGGAGGAGAAATAGTGGGGGAACGGAGCGAAGGTGGGGCGAAAGGACAGAGGAAAGGAAGGACAGGGAGGCGGGTGGACGGAGAAGAGGCGGAGGAGGGAGTGTCGCAGGGACGGAGCGGAGGCGGAGGGCGGACTAAAAAGGGACAAGGAGGCAGTTGGGAGAGGGAGGGACGGAGGGACGGAGAGATGAGGAGGAGGGAGGCAGGGGGATCCTTTGCAGGCTCTACCCGTATCCAATGTCTGTCTTTTTCGCGGTCTGGCTGGTGATTGTGTGCACGGGCTGCGTAAATTGGGATGACGAGACGCGGCTGATGACCGAGAACTTGTTTTTCATCACGTTGTCTACATTCGTTGCCAGGAGCGTGCCGACGACATCCGTGTGGTCCGATTTTCTCTTGAGCAGCATCTGGAGCGCATTGCTGTGGTTTATCGGCGGGCGATTTCCCGAGTGCTCCGTCGTCGGGATGCAGCAGCTGCCTTTCTTAACTTTCTGGGTCTGGGCGACCGGACTGCACAGCTGTTTTGTGGCGCAGTTCTGCGTCTCGGGGTGCCTCCGGATCTGCCTCGACCCGCGATTTGGCGCGTCCAGGCAGTTCCAGGTGGTGTATCTGGTGGGAACGATTCTGGGCCTCATCACCCTCCTCGAGTGGCAGTCCGTGTCCCACTACCACAAGGTGCAGAAGCTGCTGAGCGTCTCGACGGACGGGCACCTCGTCGTGGACAAGACCACCCGCGTCATTGCCAGCGTGAGCTCGGAGATGACGCTGGTCTTGGGCCAGGCACGGCGGCAGGCCACACAAATATATACACACATCTCACAGGATTCCCCACATGTTCCAAGATGTTCTGGGTTTTTGTCTTCCCCCCACTTCCCATATTTTCCTATATTTTCCTGGGAGTCGACGATTAATTGTGTCTGTGCGTTTTTTCCCCTCCTGAGAGAAGGAGACGGCCTTCTCAGAAGGCGGCGGGACTTCTCAGAAGCCCTGGCGCCTGCTGAGAATCTGAGGAGCTGCTTCTGTCTTCGAGGAGGGCTTAGACCACTTCTCAGAAGGCCGGGGGACTTCCGAACTGTGAGGGCAGGCCTTCTCCTTCTCACTCACTTCCCCCCCTCGGCTCGCCGGCGGCAGGCACTCATTGGAGCACAGTTCGACCTCTTCTCTCACCACAGCGATCGTGCCCAGATCGAGCAGTGCTTCGGCCTCAGCGTCGGCGAGCCCTCGGAGGCGTTCCTCGCGACGCTCTGGTACAGGCAATCCCCGAAGGCCATGCGCACGCCTTCTCCTCATGGCTCCTCAGGGGTAGCAGATGTCGATCCTCGTTATGTTCCCACTCATGTTTAGCCATACCGAACAATAGTATATGCCCCTGCGCTTTTCAATTTGGCAGTCACTTTGGTATGGGCTGGTTCGGGGATACAGCAACGTCGCGACGTTGCACCGAATATAATAGATCTGGAAAGTTCGCCGCACCCGCGACAAAGGTTTGCAACGCATGGGGAACTGACAACAAACATCATAGTTCGCGTAAGCACCCCACGGGAATGGCAAGCGGCTATGCAGGAAGGGCCGCACTGTTCGGAAGAGTGGTACATTGTCACACTGCAGGACCCACTTGTGAGCGTGTGTGGGGATTCGCGGCGCCTTGAGCGTTCGTGTAGCACCTTAGGTTCCAGCAAAGCTGAGCGCGTAGTACTTCAACCCAGTCAAAGAGGACCTTCTTGCTGAGCAACAACTGTGTACACATACTGCTGATGAGCATTTGGACACTTGCATGCGTGTTAGCCAGCGTGGACTCCAAACCGTGACTTCGTACAATCTATGCAATACAGTCTTTTATTTCACACTGACCACGAATAGGTGGTATAATCAATGTGTTGCAATCTAGGTGGTGCAATACATGTGGCGCAATGCAACTTAATATAATGCACAACGAACCAACGCAATACTGCAGGCCAGCGTAAAGCAACGCACAGCCATGCAACACAACGCAGTTCAATACAATGCGACGCAATCATCATCATCCCCCCTACCCTCCCCTCCATCTTCCTTCCCTCGCTTCAATGCTATGCTATGCCAAGCACTGCCCAGCAATGCAAAGCAACGCAACGCAATGACAAGCAGTGAGAAGCAGTGCAAAGCACTGCAAATCAATGCGAAGCAATGCAACGCACAGCAATCTAAAGCAAGGCGAAGTAATGCAAGTCAATGCACAGCCGTTCAAAGTAAAACACATAAAGTAATCCTCACCGGCGTAGTTCAATACAACGCAACCCAAAGCAATGCAACGCAACGTAGGCCCAGACGGCGACGGGGCGCCGGCGCCGACCGCATAGCCGCCAGACCGACGTGCAGGCCCAGAGCGACGGGGCGGCGACGGCGACCACATAGCCGCCAGAACGACCGTCAGGCCCAGACGACGCGCGGCGACGAGGCGGCGTCGGGCGGCGACGGCGACCACATAGCCGCCATATTGACGGGCAGTCCCAGTTCCTCAGAATATGTTGGCCAGCTTGGCCCCCAAACCGTGTGTTCTTGCTTGCTACGTGTTGCAACATGTGTGGTGCAAGCTATGTAGTGCCATCTATAAGGTCATTTTATGCAGTGTGTAGCTATGTGGTGCAAACTACGAAGTGCAACCCATGTGGTGCAGGATATTTCTGTTCGCAGTGAGTTGTGATTTCCACTTATCGCGCAATTATCCCACCGACCCACCTGCAATTTGGCTTGCAAAACCCATGCGGCAGCTATTGCGACGACTGCTTGGCGATGGCTGTCGCATCGCTGCGGCCGAGCTGGCGCGCTCAAGCGCGCGCGTAGATCGGCATGTTAGTCTGGCGCGACCGACGCGGCCGCACTGGCGCTGACTTATGCGACTATCCAGCGTGTCTCGCAGGCCGCGCTGACGCGCTGGGACTTCAGTGCGAGTCGGTGACTCGGGTGGGCGCGATATCCTGGCGACGTCGGCAACGGCAGACACGATGATGATTGTAGCGATGCGGTTGACGACGGTGACGATGACGACGGCAAGGCCAATGACGACGCCGATGCTGATAAGGCCGGCGACAATCATGGTGTCCACGCGTTGGCGATGAAGGTTGTGAAAGGATGTCGGCATGTTCGCGCGGCCGACGGGCGCGAGTGGCCGGCACGGTGTTTTTTTCGCCGGGAGCGTGCCCCCCCCCGCCAGCACGTGCGCAAGGTCGTTCGAATGATTTCGACATCCGCGCGCGTGTTGCACGGTTGGCTGACTGTCAAAAGAATGGTTCAATCAGTTGTTCCTTACGATCTCGAACGAGCGCGCGCATACATATGTATATATGTGGAGGGGTTAATTCTACCTATGGTGTTGGTTTCGCTTGCTTTATCGGCTTTGCTTCTTGCTTCGCCTGACGGTCCCAATATCGGTTCGTATTGGGGCCATCTTAACCGTCTTGGAGGTTTCTTGTGCTGTCTTGGAGACCATGGATAGCTATCAGGGATGGTTTGGAGGCTATCCTGTTCGTCTTGGACTCCGTATTGGGCCATCCAAAGTGTGCTGGAGTCTATCTCGGAATGTTGTGGGGCAGCTTTGGAGCTCTCTTGGTGGCTTCTTGAGCCGTATGGAGGCCATCTTAAGTTGTCTTGGAGGTCATCCTTTGATTTCTTTGATACATTCGGGAAGCATATAGGGCTCTCTTGAAGCCATCTTGGACAATTTGGGCGTCTTGGGACAGTCTTGCAGACCAGTTTTGGTTAAGTACCTCTGCCGCCTTGGAGACTAAGTTTGACTGTCTTCCGTCTTGGGCCATCTTGGACGCTCCAACGCCTCGCGACCGCTCCCGTCCAGGTCCCGGGGAGGGGTGTAAAAGATGATGATGACGACGGCGATGATGATGATGATGATGATGATGACGACGATGATTATGATTTTGTTGATGATGATGATGATGATGATGATGATGATGATGGCGTTGATGGTGATGGTGATGATAATGGCGATGATGGGGATGATGGGGATGACGATGATGATGATGATGATGACGACGATGACGAATATGATGATGATGATGATGATGATGATGATGGTGATGGTGATGGTGATGACGATGACGAAGTTGATGATGGTGATGATGATGATGATTATGATGATGATGGCGTTGATGATGATGATGATGATGATAATGGCGATGATGGGGATGATGGGGATGACGATGATGATGATGATGATGACGACGATGACGAATATGATGATGATGATGATGGTGATGGTGATGACGATGACGATGACGAAGATGATGATGATGATGATGATGATGATGATGATGATGATGATGCTGATGATGATGATGATGATGATGATGATGATGATGATGATGATGATGACGATGATGATGATGACGACGACGACGACGACGCATCCTCTGCTGGTGGAGCTGGTGGAGCTGGTGGAGCTGGTGGAGTTGGTGGAGTTGGTGGAGTTGGTGGAGTTGGTTGAGTTTGTTGGCCCTGCGCGCACTCGACCACTTCCACCAACACGCGAAGCCCATGAAGCAAGCGAAACCAACACTATAGGTAGAATTAACCCTCTCACATGTATATATATACATATACATATATATGTAATGCTACATGTACGTATGTGGAAATTCAGGTCACAAGACACGATTGCATATGATGTCGGAAAAATCCACGTTGAACACCTTTGAAACTTGAGGTTTTTTTTGACGGGTTCTGGCATGCGCCCACGACGACGCGCGTGTGCACTCCGTCCCGTTCGTTGACAATTAGTTTTTTTGCAGAGAGTGATATGCGATAAACGAGAGCGCGCGCACTGCATGTTTTTTGGACAAAGGATGACGGGGAGGTGGTTCGAAACTGGCTTTATTGGGATCGCATGAGTTCATGTTCGAATTCGAGATGGCGCAGGGTCGAATATAGATTGCACATCCCCAGGGGGCGAGGTGACAGGTCTGGCCCCGGGAGGGTGGTAGACATTTTGGTTTGGGACGGAGAATCCATGCGGCGCATTTCGCATTTCATCGTGCCGATCTTGAGGGTGCGAGGTCCGCTGCTCGCGCAATTCTCCAACCGACCCACCCGTAAATTCGTTTACTAAACCCATTCGGCGGCGATTGCGATGACTGTTTGGAGCTTGTTGGCTCGTCGCAGCGGCCGCACAAGCGCACGCATGCTCGCGCGCAGAGCGGCCTACTAGTCTGGCGCGACCGGCGCGGCCGCAGTGGCGCTGACCGCCTGGGACTTCCCAGCTCGTCTTGCAGGCCGCGCTGACGCGTTGGCACTTCAGTTCGATTCGGTGACTCGGGTGAGCGCGGTGTCATGGCGACGTTGACAACGGCAGACACGATGATGATTGTAGTGATGTTGCTGAGGACGATGACGATGACGACGGCAATGCCGATGACGCTGATGGCGTCCACGTGTCGGCGCCGAAGATACCGCAGGGTTTCGACGTGCTCGCGCGGCCGACGGGCGGGAGTGGCCCGCATGGTATTATTTGACAGGGGTTGTGCCCCCTTGGGCCCCCCCCCAGCTCGCGCGCAAAGGCGTTCGAATGATTTCGACATGCGCTTGCGGAACGCACGCTGTGTGATGAGAGCTTTGAAAACCAGGGCGTTGTTTTAAGACTTTCGACGAGCGCGAGCGCATAGTTTACTCTCTGCCCCCCCAAAAAACGCGTTAGACCATGTAGAACAATCTATCGGGACAGTCAATTTTATAATCCGTGCGAAGCCGGATGTTCTTTGGTAGATGTCGGCATTCGCGCGGCGTCGCGCACGTATGCAGTTCGCCCCGAGATTCGGCAAGGAGCGCACGCGCATTCTGTTTTTGGGGGGGCGCAAGTGATGGCAGAGAGGGGACGGAGTCGACACCAGCTTTATTTTGTGATCACATGAGTTCATGTTCGACTGAAATGCGGGGCGCTGCCACATGTAAACTTGGCCATCCCCAGAGAGCGGGCATGGGCCCGGGAAGAATCCGATTTCGAGGTTGCGAGGTCCATTGCCCGCGCAATCATCCCACCCACCCACCCGCTCATTTGAACGACCCATGCGGCGGCGATTGCGATGACTGCTTGGCGATGGCTGTCGCCTCGCTGCGGCCGAGCGTGCGCGCAAGCGCGTGCGTATAGCGGCTTGCTAGTCTGGTGCGACCGGCGCGGCCGCGGTGACGCTGACCGCCACGGAAGTCTCTGCGCGTCTTGCAGGCCGCGCAAGCACGCGGGCACTGCAGTGCGAGTAGGTAGGTTACTCGGGCGGGCACGG